AACATGATGATAATTAAGCACTGTAAGAGGACGGACTACCTAGATAGCCTGTGAAATCCCTCTTCACCGGAGATTTTAGAGGTGTTAGACAGACATTATTATCTGTGCTTACAAAACCAGACCATGGAGGAAACAGAGGAGAAGTCACTTCCAGCCTTGCGTTTCTGTGAACGTATGTTTCAGAGGAAAAAAAAGAAAAAGGAAAAAAACCCACCCCCAAACAAATAAAAAAAGCAAGCAAACAAACAACAACAAAACAATAAAAACCACCCCACAGAAATCAGTTTGCATACTGAAATGTCAGTCTTTTGGAAAACAGTTCTTGTATTTCACTTATTTTTAAAATTCAAATTCAAGCAGTGAGCAGCTCCACTAAGTCTACAAGCTTAATAAAATTAATACTTGCTGCCTGTAAGCTATGCACAGATTCCAGTCCTACCCAACACAAAGCATCACCCAGCCCGTTTTATTCAGGGCATAAACATTTTGTTCCGAATGAAACTTTACACTCAACTCACAGCCCTGGTATAAAGTTAGAGTCTGCCCAGAAAATGACAGCACATTTTCATGGCACAGCCAGACTGAGTCCAAACACAATACAGCTCCAGTGCCATGCACTCTGCTGTTAGGAATAAAACATTTCTGAAGAACCCAACACAGCAACTTTCACATCTTTTCGGTGAGAAAGGTGTAGGAGAGTGGTATCTGCCAAGGAAACAACGCCACTGACTACACAGACTACTGAGAAATACTTAATGGAGTATAAAAAGGAGGGGGGGACAACAATGTAAAAGTCAACAAATTATTTTTTAGAGAAATAAGTGCTAGAGAGGTGCTATCAAAACAACCACTTCAACAAACTTCACCATAGGAATATTTATAAGAGATACAGTTATGCTTCCCTGTCTGTCCAGGGTGAAGTGAGGTTTGCCTGCCTTCACCAGAGAAGGGCAGGCAGACAATTCAGCCAGCCTTTTATATGTGGTTCCTTTGAGGGCAGAACCATTCACACTGAAGTGAGGCATCTGTGTAGTGTCTCAGGGCTTGAAATTTGGGTTCAACGAATGAGCACAGCTTCCATTTCCTCACAGGCTGTGCCCACACTGCATGGTGCAGTACCCAAGCACTGAAGTTTGCTTGGGAACTGGAAGCAGCTTAGCTGAAATATCACAGAGGTTCACACAGGCTGATACACCTGATGGAAAATGGGCTCTTCTCAGCGAGGTGAATGGTTCTGGGCAGGATCCTGGGCTTTCTTTACACAAGTAGGCAGCTAATGAAGCCCGAGTCTGGCACACAGGCTGTGCTTCTATGTGAGGTTATCCATCAGGCATACCAGTGTGCTCCCCAAGAAAACAGCTTTGTTTCCATCTCCTAGGTTAGTATTTCTGAGACAGCTCCCAAGACAAACTGAAAAATAAATTTAATTTTTAGATTTCATCTGAATAAGCCATAAACAGTGGGCACAGCTTTCGTAAATAAGTAGAAATTGGGGTGCAGATAGGTTTAAAAAACCACTTTTATACACAAGATGCATAGAGTCAGTTAGTAATTCAAAACACTGAATTAGAAGAACTGAGTTGGACAGCTAAAGGAGGCTTTTCCTCGTGTCACACAATTCATATTTCAAAAAAATTATGTTGAGATACTAAAGTAACTTTAACTGGCAAGACAGAATTAGATAAAGATGCTTCTGCTTGCTCATTTTGATTAATAATTAAAATGATCATTAAAAAAAATATTTCAATCTCTATCCAATCCCTTACACACTTTAATTTTTACAGCCCTGATGAACCACACAGACATAGATTTATGGAAATATTCCCAAAGATAAAACCATATTCTGTTTGCTTTAATTTTCACGTTATACTTCCCACAAATAATTCACACATTAGACAACGGAATGCTGTCTACCCTGGACATGTATAAAGAAGGAAAAGTGGTTTAGTATTGCATATCACAGAACGCAAGCAAGTGAAATGAGGAACGATTATATCTTTAATATCTGGTCCGTATGAACACCCAAACAAAATTCTTTAGCAATACTGGGGAAGAGCCCAAAGGTTCACCAACCACCTCTTCAGGCACAAACCCCCAGGATTAACACATCAGAATACTCTACAATTTACAGGCATATAAATAGTTCTCACAGTTCTAAGAAAAAGACTTAGAAATAGGTATTCCAAATAATTTGAGAAATAAAGAACAAAGTGGCACAAACCACTGTTGTCCAATACTACTTTTTAAACCTCTGCCCAAGACTATTATCAGTAAGATGTCCTCACTGTAGCATTTCTCTTTACAAGGACTATTACATGATTTAAACACAGAGCTACCAGATAACTGTTAAGATCTGTATTTTATGAAGGAAGCCAGTATTATTTTCCTCCTAATAATCAGCAAATATTACTGAATCTAGAGCTAGTTTTTTATTATATCTTCAATTACAAAAGTGAAAGAAGAACCACCTTCTTTCTTCATTCATATTCTACATTATGAGTAGAACTATCATCTCCAAACCCACTGTAAGATTTTTTTTCTGGTCATCCTCTTTATGCATCTTTTTATCTTCCCTTTCCTGTCCATACTAAGCCCAGGTCCTTGTGGAGCTCTCTACAAAGAGGTCCAGATATTATCCTCCAGACAGAAACTTAAAAACCTGTTATGAAAATACCTTCCCTCTGATGTCATGATTTTGCATTTATAAACACTCAATTCTATACACTGCTGAGATATAGTATCCATTCACTAATCAGAAGTAAGAATTAATAGGGGGTTTCAAAGCTACAAAGGCAGCATTTTCACTCTGATGGGAGCATACAGTTCATACTTTGGGGGAGGGGAAGAGAAGAAAGAGTGTTGGCTCTTTCATGAACATAAAAGGGCAGAATTACACATTAGTGTAGCTTCCCCATGTATAGACATTTTTTTCTGAAATGCAGTGTAAACTTAAAATCAACCATTAAAATCTTTAACTACAGCTCAAATCATCCACGTAATTACTCTTACAGAGGATTATGACCAAGGTTTTTTAAAACTAGAATTGTTAAAACTGCACAATTAAGAAATAAATCACAATGGGAAAATAGGTTCCTATTCACAAAACAACCAACCAAGCTGGCATCGCTAATACCCTTTTAGAAAGGTAAAAACCAGAACCGAAATACTGGGAATGCTGTTGCCAGGTCAGAATTGAGGTGAATCGGCAAAACCGCGCAGATGGGCTCCTACCGCACCTGCCCAGCCCTTGGCCTGGTACAAATGCGTACTCGCTCCTTCAGTAACCCTTCTCCTTCATCAGGGCATTGAAGTTTTCACAAAGGGGGAAAAAAGCCTACACTTTTTTAAAAATACATTTGAAAGAAAAGTTGAGATGCTGGGCATTCTTGATTCACGTGTGCTTTAAAAACCGAGATTTTTGACCTTCAGAAGTCCCTTCCCCCAGCTAAAGAAAGAGAAAAGGGAAAAAAAAATTAAAAAACACTCCTCAGAAACTACCACAGAGAGACGCTGCAGACATCAATCTAAAATAATGGCAGTCAAAGGTCAGGATGATATAGGCAACATCAACCTTTTCATTTAAATATCTTCCTGAAAGAGACCTCTTAATAAGCAGAAGCAAGAAAATCAGGGACTATCCAGTCAATGATGAAAAAAAGTCATTTACAGGATTTTCCTAATAATGACACCAAGTATCTTCAACTTTGACAAATAAATTTTAAGACCTCACTGAAATATAATACGCAAACTACCATCAGCTTGCTGGGTTATCTTAGCAAGATTCAGCAATTTTTTAAACGAAGATTCACTTATGAACTATACACAGCAGATTACAAAATAACACTAAAAAAAGCAAGCACTGCAAATTGGATCTGGACCGGTAAAACGACACAAAAGTCGTAGTAATCTTCCAAAACTGCTGGAAAACGCATACTGCAAGAACAATTGGTATTACTGCCTAACAAAGCTGGGTAACACTCAGAAGGCTCCAACATGCTAATCTGTCACCGTGACAGAAAAGCAAAAGATGCCAGACCAATCCACATCCCTCTTCCAGTACTCTACATATCTAACACTGAGCTTCCGAACCCAATAAAAAATAGGACTAGAGTGTCCAAAAATATGAGTAAGGATGCTCTTAGCAAATCTGCTCCCAACTTCTTGTTATTAAAAAAAGAGTACCCTTCAAGATTTGTCAGCATTCCTCAACAGTGTTTTGTGTTATTGTTCTATAATCACAGCTACATTTTTGCTTCAGATCTCTCCTCCAAGAAAAAAAAATTACACATTACAGTAAGTCTGTTATAAAAGTGAAGCACATGTTTAAGGCCCATAGAAGCACCGATGCTGATAAAATTAAAAATGGCTGTGCCCGAAGATCCCACAGCAAAAACAGGCACAGCTCTGCTGCAGATTAAAATATATATTAAAAATTCCCGCATTACCTTACAAAGGGCGAGGTATGCAAAACAAAAAGATTATATATATTTCCAAAACTGAAGTAAGTTATTAGACAAGAGATGCAGATCTAGGCAAAGCATACTTCTTCAGTGCAGGTCGAGTTCATTTACACAATAAAGCAGCATTTTATTCCCCGAGACACTTAACGTATCGGGATTTCAAAACTTTTATCAGGCTTCGCCGCTGAAATAGATGCACACCACTCTGGAAGGAGAGGAGACACGGATGTGCCCAAATACCAGCGGACCCCACCCCCTTCCCGCTGCCAAAATGGCCAGTTCGTTCCACCCAGTGGCTACTCACCAGCCGCAGTGCCGAGCAGCAGGGTGGCACTGGAGAGCAGGAGCACCAGCACAAGGTGCTGCAGTGAGGCAGGCATACCTGGGCAAGCCACGGTTCGAGCCAGGAGGAGGAGGAAAAAAAAAAAGGGGGGGGGGGAGGGGGGTAAAAACCCCAAAAACCCGACGAGAGGAAATTCCTCCTGCTTTCACACAGCCTTCCTCAACTCTCTCGGTTTACAATCCCGCCTGGAAGGGCAAATGGCAGATGAGGGGAGCCGTCTTCGCTCTTACTCCATTACAGCCGCCTGCCTTCATGCCTGGGGCGCCGGCAGCGCTCGGCGGACACGGGGGAAGCGCCTGGCTCTGCCTCCCAGCCCCGAGGCATCTCCCCCGCCGGGGAGGACGGCGGCACGCTCCCGACCCCGCTGGGAACCGGGCTATTTCCCACGCAGCTTCACGACATCGAAGAAAGAGCCCGGTTGGGAAGGGAACATATCCAGACGCGCCCACAGCGGTGTCAGTCAGCGCGGCCCCCGCGGGCTGGCCCGGGCACGGAGAGCGAGCTACGGGCTCACGGCGGCGCCGCGTCCCATCCCGGCAAAGGTCTCTGTCCTCTGGCGGCCCCTCCTCGCTGCCTCACGCTCCGGGGAAGGCGGCGGCGAGACCCCCCGCTCTCACGGCGAGGGCTGCGGCTGCATCCCGGCCCATCTGCCTCCCGCGCCGGGCGGGCTCCTCCGCGCTGCCCCGGCCCCCGCCGCAGCACCGACGCCACCCCCGGCCACCCCGACAAAGGTGGGGCCCGGGGCGGCGAGGCCCCTCCTCGGCGTCTCCAGCTGCGAGCGCACCCGGCTGCTCTCCGCGGGCGAAGGCCCTTCCCCTCCTCCGCCGCCCGCCCCGAGTTTCCACAGCGCCGGGCAGCCCGGCCCGGCCTCCTCCCTCCGGTCTCGGCTCAGCCTCTCCGCGCTGCCAGCGCCTTCCTCCCCCCGCGCCGGGCTCGCCGGCGAGGGGCCGCTCCGCCTCCTTCCCCTGCCCGCCGCCGGCTGCGGGTGGGAGCCGAGCGAGGGCCGGAGCTCCGCCGCCGCCCGCGCCCCCTCTCGCCCGTCCGCCCCAACAGCACGGGCAGCTCCAGACACAAAGGGGAGTCGCTGCCGCCGCCGGCCCGGGCGCCCGTCCCGCCGCGCCGCCCCCGCCGCCCGGCCCCGCCCCGCACCATAGAGGTGGCTCCAGGTAGGCAGAGCGGGGCCGCCCGGGCGGAGCTCCGCCGGGCTGCGGGAGGGGGCGCGGGGCTCCGGGCGCCGCCAGGGCGGAGGGCACCGCCTCGGGAAGGGGAGTTGGGACCCAGCGGCGGCTCCGTGAGAGGGGGAAGGCCTCGGCGGACCTTCCCGGGAAGGCCGCGGGAAGGCGGCGAACGGCCCCCCCCGGCAGCCTGTCTGTCAGAGAGGCTGTCAGCAGGGAGGCGTGAGCTCGGGAATCACAAAAACCGCCTGTAACAAGAAAAAAGTGTTTAGCAGACTCTGAGATTGCATCAGCTTTGAACTCCGTGGCCTGCCTGTCAGACACCCCGGAGCTTCTGCCTCGACCTCTAGTTCAAGCCCCCGTTATCTTTGTCCCTGTGAGCTCCGCTAGAAGCACTGGCCATACCACCTACTGCTCTCCCTCAGGGAACCCTGGCAAGTCACAGAATCAATGGGGTTGGAAAGGCCTCTGGGATCATCGAGTCCAACCTAGGACCGAATATCACCATGTCAATTAGACCATGGCACTAAAGTGCCATGTCCAGTCTTGCCTTAAACACCTCGAGGGACAGTGATTCCACCACCTCCCTGAGCAGCCCATCCCAATATCTAATCACCCTGTCTGTGAAGAATTTCTTACTAATGTCCAACATAAAGTCCACCCAGCTCACACAGCTTCAGCCACCTGACTCTCCCAAGCAAAAGCATTATCTGCTTCTTAAATTAAAGAGATTTTATGATTTCAAAACAAAGATAAAGTCAGCCCACTGTGCTGTTTGTATGCTTTAACCTTTGCTATATTGCACAGGACTAAAGAGATAAATTGAGGCCAGCAGCTGATGGGAGAGCTGTGACTGGAACGTGCTGTCTGATGTTCTGGCCTAGCGAGGCTCTTTCAAACAAGTTTTACCGGCTGTAGCATAGAAGAAAGTTCTAAAGAACACCCTGCACACAGAAAGCACCTTCATATATGGGCTTCACCAAAAGGTTTGATTATGGGAAATGCTTCTCTGTGCCAAAATTCCTACACCAGTTCCAAGAATGGCATACAAGGAATAGAAATTCAAAAATCCAATTCCACACCTCAAAGTATTAAATGCTACTACATAAAATTTTGTAGTTGCAAGTAAGAGTTACAATTTTAGTGATAATAAAAGGTTTCAGCATAACTATTCCTCTTCACAAGCCATAAGAGGTGAAGTAGATGTAATCTGATTCTTTCATCATCAAGAAAATTAGTAAATGAATTCTAATAGCATTTTTGTCATTGTGATGCTTAGGCCAGAGAGCACGGTCTTTGACATTCCTAGGGTCAAGATGAATTTATATGGCTGATAGTTATAAAAATGTTTTTTAAAGTTTTCTACAATATCTTCACTTCCAATCTATGCAGATCTAACATGGATATTGGTGAGAGACAATAAAATATAGAATCCCAGATTGTAATTTGTATTGCCACTTTCCAGAATTGCAACCACATGTTAACCACAGTATCCTTCCTGTTATTTGTGGAATGTGAACTGTCAAGAAATAACCTTTAAAAGCAAAAAAAAAAAAAAAAACAAAAAACCAAAACCAACAGCCAGAACAATTTTACCTCCAAGAGAGGAAAAAAAAAAAAAAAGACATTAAGTATTTTTTGCAGGCCCAAAATCCAGAGTTCTTTTCTGGTTCAGAAAAGACACCAAACTATGCAACACACCTTCTGCCCAGCTGAACCTGCCAATAAAAGAAGCGAGATCTACTTGGTTCAGAGAAAACAAGAACCTAACTATGTGTGGGTTGTACAGCGCTTTCCCTGTTTAGATGGTAAAAGAAAATTACTGTAATTGTTTATGACATGTATGAAAACCTGCTCACCCTGAAATAAATGACAGAAGTCTCACTTGTTTGAATGGTTCTAGTTTTGGCTTATCAATTAATACCAGGAATTGTTGTCCACAAGAAATTGTACAAAAACATATATTCTGCCTTAAAATATCTTTCTTTTTTTCTCGCCACAAAATGGATTGGATTTTTGTTCCGTGTTTTTCCTGAAAAGAAGGAACAAGACATGCCATTTTTACTACAATTATTTCCTCTTAGTTTCACAAAAACCCCAAGCCTGATCAAGAAAACACCCCCGTGAAGGCCGCAGGGCTGTGAATCTGCTTCGCCTGAGCTTATATCAAGTCCTTGGACTAATCTCACAGACTTGCAATCCCAGCAGTTTGCAAGAATTTCCCCTCCTTCCCTAACCTATTCTGAATTTTGCAAAAGAACTTCTCTGCAAGGGCCAGGTCCCTCCCAGCCCGGTGTGGCTGTGAATGCTGCCGAGAGCCGCTGGCCACGCACCGATGCCAGGCTGCAGAGCGGGAGCCACTGCACCCCTGTTTCTGTGGGGCTGGCAGGGCCGAGGAGGGGCTGACCCCTCCTTCACCACATGGATGTAGAAAGCGATGGCTACTGCCTAAGCACAGAAGCAGCTTCCTTTTCCCACGGTGGTGAGAGGAAATCAGAGATCTAAACTGTCACACTCAGGCTCACCCATTGTTATGTGCTTGGACAAGAACATATTTATAATCCTTTCTGTGGTATTGTTTTATCTCTAAGCTAGGATTTCACTAGCCTAATATCCAGCAACATCCAGTAAGACCTACAGAAAAGTACTCGGGATAATGAAAATTTGCAGAGCTGCAGCACAGTAAATCTGGTGCAGGTAAAAGTAGGAGAGAGACAAGAGAAAACATGTGAAATCTACCAAGATTTAAAAAAACCCCAGCTTTCTGACTGAAGCACTGTATTTCCACCAAGAACAATGAAACAATACTATTGAACTTAACAGAGACTGTTAAAAAGTAATAGGAGGAGGAAAGACCTTAGAAAGTAGATGGTCTTCTGCAGCTGTTCCCAGGGCAGGCAGAGGCAAGGCTGCCCAGGAGCACATGGGGCAGAGGCAAGGAGGACAGTGGCAGAGGAGCCAGGGTATGGTGGCAGCGAGCTCCCAGAGATGTGAGTCACATACACAGCAGGGGACTTGTATTTTGCCCTCGAGCGAGGAAGCTCTGAGCAGAACAGCCTCATGCAGCACGCTGGGGCTGCCCTTTGCTTCAGAGAGGCACTGAGAGCAGAATTACTGCTGATATGAAGCTCAGAAGTTTCCCCGCTGTCGGTCACACTGATGCAGACACAAACATATTGATATCACTTGCAAATTCAACACTGCACGTAAGTGAAATTAAACATGTCCTTATTAGGAGCGTCTCCTTTAAACAACACACATCTTTATTTTTAATGAACTGGAATATGGGAAACTATTTTCATGCTACCAAGAGAGTGTACCAATCAGTGGTAATTAACAAAGAATGAAGAAAACCAAGGTGTACTACCAAACAGTAGCTTTAGTTCTATTTCTTTTCAGAAAATCCAGTGTTCAGGCACTTTAAAAAGATTTCTCAGGATAGGTTCACTGTTATCCAAGAGTTTTTCAGCGCTGACGCAACACAACTGTTATCATCGTTAGGACTCAGGGGACTGTTCTTTTTGAGAGGGCCTTTCAAGAAGTCAACAAATCAGTTTAAAACAAGCCATAAATTATATTTGGCTGCCCATCAGCTTGGCCGGAGTGTTCTCTCAGTGTTGGCGTAAGTGTTGGGGAAAGAATAGAACGACACAGTATAATATTTAGCTTTTAGGGGATATTTTGTTCCTAATTTAAAACCAAAGCATCCCCCTAGCATTGACTCTGATGCATAAACATATGTTAGAACAGCAATCAAGATGTCCACAGACTTTCTTACAAATAAATACACCCGTTCTGGATCCTAAGTAATAGCGTAATAAATAATGGATTTGGTACAGGTCTCCACCGCGAATGCTGCCACTCATTGCTAAATTAGGGAACTGTCAGCAAGATCATCTCCCCAGTCTTGCCTCCTGTAACTGTATGTGGAGAGAGACATGATTCCTGATAGATAGGATCCAAGCCTTCTATAGCTCTCCAGATTATTAGTAACATCCTGAATTGCAGCCAGAATGCGCCGAAAAGACAATACTGTCTACTTACAGTCTGCTGAGTTAGCAGTACAGCTTCAGCCAGTGCAGCCAAACAAGTAATCACACGCAGACGTCACTACCCTTGGAAGTATTCAGTTCCTGGTTTTATATAGCTTTTCCCATCAGTGTCCAATCTGAGGTGTTGCACAGAGGCATTAAGGCACCCCCATAAGTACCCTTGGAGTTAGAGGTCAGGGTAGGGAGGGTGCCTGTGGGAAGACCATCGGTACAGGGAAGTGGGCACATGATATGCAGAAAGAAAAACAATGAAACCTCTGGGGACTTTCTCCATCATGGACATGTGTCCTTGGGAACAGGGAAAGGCTCCCTGCCCTTTAGAGCCTCCCTGCAACCTACCAGCAGCACTTGCATTTTTGTCTGAATTACTGTTGGTTTCTGCTCCTTTTCCAGGGCTTGGTTTTGTCTTGGGAAAAAAGATTTCACAAAAGAGGGACTGAGGGACACCCAGCCATGATTGAAATCTCAGAAAAGTCCTTTGTGGGATAAAGTCAGTTTCCTTCTGTTTTTCCTGACAGGCAGGAAAAACTCTATCCATGATGGTCAGTCTTCCCTGCCAAGATGCGAGAGTGGCAAAACCTCATCACGTACCAGAGCAGGCTCTCATGCTCCCACTCCTACCATCAGCCTTAAGGAAATGGTAAATCAAATTCCCTTCCTCAGAGGGAATTAATTTCCCCCTTAGTCCAGTTAAATAATCTGTGCCAGACATTACTTTTTGTCTTTAGACTCATAAAAGTCTATCTGAAGGCTGTTACGACTTCATTTTTCTTTGTCTCTGAAGCATAGAAAAGAGCACCAACTGTCAAGCTTTTGGGGGAAAAAAACCACATTTGTGAGTATGAACTAGTGTTTTCAGTCCTGGGTTTTTCTAATTCTACCATGTTGTTGTCTATTCTACTGCAAGGTGAATCACACTCTGCAACGAAGTGACGACAGTCTTTGACATCACCATCCTATAACAGAAGTTTTGTGGCAGCTTTGTTTATCTTTTCATGGCAAACTTTTAATAAATTTAATGCAAAAATTAATCACACCACTTTTGTGGCAGTCCCCAGAAAGATCTATTTTGATATCTAACTTCTTTTGTTTCATGCTGGTCTCACATTTGCTGATTTTGGTATAGTGAATGGTTTCCTATGGGGAGCCCATAATTGCATGATCAAAGGTGTGAGGATCAGCCTGGAAACATAAGCAAGTGGGTGTGGGACAGGTAAGTCTTTGGTATACAGGGAGAAGGAGGAGGAAGGTGCACACTGTGGGATAAGCAAAGGGAATATTTTGTGTCTAAAAGGATTACAATGAAATAGTTAATAGACATTTTTACATTTCACAATACAAGATATTTCTCTGTGATAATGAACTACCAACAGTGTTGGTAGCAGTTGCTGCCATGTTTTACAGATAACACTGCTTAGTCTGTGGAAATCTTATCCCATTTTGGGGGTGGAGGTGAGAGAAACTTTCAAGATAGCTCTGAGAAGCACCTCCTACTTTGAATTAAGTCTGAAATCATATGTTAAAGGCCCTTTACAGGCTTCCTGAAATCTATTGGCTTGTTCATCACAACATAAAATAGGAAATTTGCTGCAGGGTGTTTATCAGTTCAAAACATCACTTATTCATTAAATCCAACAATGGGCTTAGTCAGAAATAGAAATATAATGAGCTGTGTCGGAATCATCTTCTGGTCCGTAGCAGAGGGGTATGTCATCGCCACAGACCTGCAGGGTTTCATTCCTGAGAGCTACCTGAGCCTTCTCATACTCACGACAGGCGGCTGGGAACGGAGCTCACGGAATCTCCAACATACTCTCCTGCTGCTGTTACCTTTCTTTTTTCTTCTGGTTTCGGGTTTTTGGGTTTTCTTCTTTTTCTGTTGTTGGCTGGCATTTTTTAATCACTCACTACATGAGTTAGTTAGCAGTGCAAGCCAGGCTGGTTTTCAAAAGCCTGGCTTTTCTTTTTTGTACTTTAATTTCTTACAGACAATTAGGATTAGACCTAAAAATATTTCTCCAGTCGGCTCCATACTTCTAGCAGGAAGCTAATAAAAATGCCCTTTGAGAACAAAATGAAAGCCCGTGGTAACATCTCAGTAGGCCTGCACTCAGTTTGCCAAGGTGGAGGTCCAGAGGAAGCAGCCTCTGTATATGCTCATTGCTGGCCATCCTCGAACTCCACACCAGTTTGTCAAGTGTCAGGCATTCATCTAAAGGACAGAAGCAGCGTCTACAACATGAACTTTTTGCTTGTTATTTTAAATGACAGTGTGGAGGGAAAAATCTTTTGCTCAGGCTTCTTACAACAGTTCCCCTTGGCAATGAGAAAGGAGGCATCAAATATGAACCCAACAGCACAGCTTATCAGGTTTTGTCTTCTCTTCCAAAGGCCAAAAAAAAAAGTGAAAACGCAGTTAGAATTGAAGCACCTTTTAACTCAGTGTTTGCTGCCACTGCAAGCACGATGGCAGAGGGCCAACCACTCTCAGAGCCATTGCTCCCATTGCTACTCTGAGTACACCTGTCCAGTGTTCCTCTCCTGCACTCAGCCAGCTCCAGGAACATCACCTGGAAGGTGATCACAAAGGAAGATACAAGTAAATTATTACCTTTTACTATACCAAACATGAAATTTATATCCCTTATGCTTCTGCCTGTAACACGACATCTGTTGCCTGAGGATTTTGAAACATTTTTATCTGTGAAGAATTTTCCTTCACATCAAGAAATGAGTCAGTATCTCTGTATGGCCTGCTTGCCTCTCACAAATCAATCAGGAAACATAAGCCCAACTAAGTGCTTCCCCAAAGCATTCATCAGGAATCCTCTCCCTGAAGCGATACAGGCCAGACCACCGACTCCAGTCGGCACCAGTCCTGAGTTACTCAAGCACACAGCGACTGTTGATGGCACAGTTGCTCCCTGCACTGTCTACAGACATTTGAAATTGCAGAGGCCTAAAAGGCTTTAATTCACAAATGAGAACCAGGCTTTGAGAGGCCATTTCCAGAGCACAGTATGGGCTATGCGAGCCTTGGGTAGGTGGCTTAGGGGGCACAGACAGCCCTCAGACTCTGTGAAACCTCTACCTCTGCTTGCAATTTCAGATTAAAAGGCAGAGACATAAATGAGGATGGAGGGACAAGTGGGCAGAGACTTCTACAGGAAAAATTGCCCTTCGTCTCTATAGTAAAGAGTTTGTCAGTTTTGTATAGACAAAAGCTCATCAAAAGCAGAAAGTACCATCTCCCAGAAATGCCACATGAGGTGCTTTATGTTTCGTAAGTTTAAAGGAATTTTTCCTTCTTTTTTTCCCCCCACATTCGCCACAAAATAATTGTAATGTTTTGCATATTGCTTTTTCCCCCTCCCTTCCTTTTTCTCTGCCCCTCACTGAGTTCAGTAAAATCAACATCTGAGCAGGGTTTCCTCTCTCTAGCATTTTTACCAGTTCACTTTTGTATTCATTTACTTTTAACCATCCCCTCAACTTTGGAGAGGTTGCATTTACCAAAAGGAAAATCCACCACCCCTGTACCTTGTACCTTTACCTTGTAACTGCTGAAGCTCTCACACTCTCAGGAGCAGCAGAAGGGCGGAAGGGATGTGAAGTGAGGGCAGACAGTAGCCCAGACCCTGAACTAAATGTTGAACAAGAAAGAGAAGGGAAGTTGTAGGCAGGAAAGAGGAGCCGGGAAGGGAAAGGAGGAGTGAAAAAGTTACAGGAGAGGGTTACATTCGAATTTGCATTTACTGATTTAACAAAAAGGGGGGTGCTAAACTCAGATCTCTAATATCTGTGACCAAACCTCCCTGTGCAGTTGTCATTTTACTGCGAGGCAGCTATTTGTACTGTCCCCACCAGTGCTCCCATCAGTGGTATAATCAAACAGGAGTAGAGCAATAGGAGGAATCCCATGGGGTGTGGAGATGGGGTCAAAATGCCACGGTTTTGCCTTAGGGACAAGAAGGTTCTGGTGTGCCTGCCCAGGAGTCCACCCCCAGGGGGGCTCTGTCTGTGCCTGCAAAGGGAAGCACATTAACCCAGAGTAACAATGGTGAGCACCTTAGATCTTTCAGACATCCTGGAATGTGAGGCCATCACTGCAGCCATCTGCCTGGAAGGGCTGGAGATCAGCACCTGTAAAGGGGTGTATGATGAAGAAAGCTCCCCGCAGGGGAGCTCCCCAGGTCTCCCTCTCACATCACAGACATGTGACCTGCTGGCTGTTTGGTTGCACCCCTGACCGGGCACCACGCTGGGCCAGAGCTCCCTGCCTGCCCCATGGGACAGGGACAGAGCCAAGCAAAGGGCTGCCAAACACAAAGCCCTGCTTCAAATGTCCCCAAATTCGGATAACCAGATTGCACCCACAACTGCTGCAGAGCCAGAGCTGGGCTTCATTCCTCCTCTCCATCCCACGACTGCCCTGCTCCTTTGAGCTGGCCCCAGCAGATTCAGACACACTGATGGGATGGGGCGGCGGGGGACGTCAGCCACCTTTTGTAGGGGACAGAAGATTCCCCGCTCAGAAGGAAACAGCAATTCCCAAGTTTCTCTTGGCTTAACCAAAAGCTGTAAAGTAGATTCCTCCTGTCCTCCACCAGCATTCAAACCTCCCTGTGTATTTTGTTGATGAAATCTCTCACCCCAATTGAAGAGATAGCAGTGTTTGCTAAACATGCCCTGCCTTGCTACCAGAAGAGCTTCTGACCTTGTTCTGTCTTCTTCTTGGCGTTTGGCAAATACTTATCAGTGCTTGCAGTGACCTCCAGCCAGCTGGACAAAAAGCTTTGGAGCCAAACATGTGCACAAATAATTCCAGGGGCAGCTGTTACTACTGGATTATCTCTTCCTGTGGCTTCTACTGATACAAATAGTTAATACATGCTGCAGTTCACAGCCCCTTTCTCTTTAGCAGACCAAGGCCCATCTTCCTTCAACTTGGGGCCATTAAACCCACCTCAACAACAGGGGCCTTCAATCTGGTACTACCCTGTGTTGCCAAACGTATCTTACCAGATGAAACAGCCAAAGTCACGGATCACAGCCCTGCCATCTTTAGCCAAGAAGGTCACCATTTAATCACTCTTTCCAAGTTATGTGTAACAGAGGCCATTCTGTGCATATCCAAACATAGCACCCCCTCTCTCCAACCCCTCTGGCCTCCCACAGCCCAGACATGAGGTGTTTTTTCACCCCGATGCATTGAGGTCCACGCTTGATCAGAGTTCATTCAACCTGAAGAACAGCAATGACTCGCTTCCAGAAAATGAGACTATTATTGCTAGAGACCATTATGAAAGCCTGCATGAAGCTGAGACCAAATGTGTGCTCGGATCACTCCAAATGTTGCTTAAAGCAAAGCCCTGGATTGTTTTGGATTTGTTTTTTAAACAAAACAAAGGATTGACAGAATCTCGTCTGTAACAAGAAAGATTTTCTGATGTTTTCCTGCACAGCTCTTACAGATGCGTGGCTGGACTTGGAGCTCGCACCCACCAACAGTGAGCACAGCAGCTCTCAGAAAGCGGATGAAGACTTGGAAGGAGTCCTTACATGATAGGATGGAAGTGATGGGGATGCTGACCTATTTAAGTTCAGCTCCAAGAATCAGCTTGTGGTCACTGGGACTATGTTAGTTTTTCAGTAGGATGCTCTGTACCGTCCCCTGGAAATGAGAGTGATCGCATGGCTATGATCACTTTTTGCCTTTACAGCAAACCTTTCATCAGAGGAACTCAAAGCAACTTGCCAGCAAGTACAAGCACAACCTCACACTGTGCCTGTGAGATAAGCGAAGGATGGAATAGATTAACTGCTTAAAAGCACACAGCAGCTCTGTGGGATGAAGAAAAAATAAGAAAGAAAATATATATGCACACACGTTTGAAACTGTACAGGGTTTTATGGAGAGGCAGCCTGGAAGGCTGCCAGGATGCTGAAATTGCCACCCCTACACAACCACGAATACCATGGAAACCAGTGGGGCACCGGCAGACAGGAAAGGAAATCAGCTGAAAAATGGCTTTCCATGAAATGCAGCC